GCTAAACGCCATGATTGAGCGCCATGAACAGCTTCTTCAATCTGCTGCTATCTGCGACCCTGCTCCTGGATACACGCAAAACGTACTCGAACAGAATAGCGGTTAATTCCAGCCACAATACACGTTAGATAACCGATGTACAGCACGCATGAAATACGCTTCAAAACACACACGCACATACACACAGACACACATAACTTCGCCTACTCAAGGCTACGTCTCACCACACGTCAACATGGCACTGCGGCTTTGCTCTAAGAGGCGCAGTTGCAGAGTGAAGCGTTTCTGAAAGCTTGTGCAGCGTTTAGAGTGTCAAGTATTGGTAAATAGAGTGTAAAACCACTTGAAGCAATAACCCCTTATCGCCGTCTTTAAATTGAACATGATCAACAACAATTGGTCACGCTCTTCATACGTGACCAAGCATATGCAATCTGTGACCAATGTGATCATTTTCGACGTGACCAAAACTGTTCCTGACCTGTAATAAATCCTTCGAAGCTCGCGACGAGTTCGCAGCCAGTAATGGCGAAAAATGAATACACTGAAAAAACAATTTAATTAACCCACCTAGTAAATTAATTTTAGAATATCCATTCGGTCATTTTTGTCGCTGACGTTGAGTTGTGATAATTTACCTTCATTTATGTGGGCTACTGTCTCACAATGTCATACCCATGAGGGACACCACGGCCGATCGCTGGTCCCAGGTCCCCACTTTAGGGAGTTGACCCAACTCGCGTCAATGTTGGAGCGCGAAAGGAAAGCAAAAGCGATGAAACCACGGAATTCAAATCAGGGACACCGAAAACGCTGCAACCACGGAATTCAAATCAGGGACACCGAAAACGCTGCAACCATAATGGGCCTTCGCCCAACAAGGCTGATTTTATTGTACACGTAACTAGAAAAGCGAACTTCGACTAGCTTGAAATGCCCAATCAAGTACAAAAGCTTGAAGTATCCGCAATGCGACAGTACCACCAAGCTGTAACGAGGTCGCCACGATCAAAATTCCTTTTCATAACTTTGAGCAAAGAGGCAACGGCCGGCAGATAGTAAAATAAATTATAACCTCATCCATTTCGTTCAATCTCACTCGTCCGAGACAGCTAAAACGAAGGAATCCCCTCTTAGCTCCTGCGATTCGGGCGCGTTCCTGCCACCTTGCCTGATTGTGACGACTTTTGTACGTCGAGTTGACATGGAAAGCTGCGGCGGGAGGACGTTCTCCGAGAGCTTATCGTGCTTTACTTCTCGAGTGACTTGTGGCGCAGTACACAGCCAGGGCGCCCATCGAGGGAAATATGCATGCACACAAAACCTCACTGGAACACACAAAGTGTGCAGGTCACACATTATTAGATGGCGGTAGTGTGTGGGGGTAAGGATCGTAGTCGTAGCAAACCCGAGCGTGGTGCCCGCGAAGCAGGGCCGCTCGGTATTTGCGTAGGCGGGCCCAGGGACGAGCTCACCAGCGCACGGATCAGTTGCACTCTCCAGTACATTTTTTTTTCTATTGCGAGGGTCTGGGAGTGCAACCCCGGTACGCTGTTAATAGAGCGCTGTCCAGATTTGTGCTGTTTCGAGTGTTTTGAATTTGAGCCTGGCGTCCATTAGATAGACTTATTTGCAATACCATATTTATGACCAATCAGCGTTGCCACTTCAGCATATGCTATTGAAGAATTTTCAATGCCATGGGCGACAAGGCTCACTTACTTCATTGAAGTAAAAAACTGTACAGATGTGATCAACAGCTGTGCAATAATGTTGACGCAGGAAACTTGACCATAGTTTTGTGGTCGTAATGTACTGTGATTCCCTGTTATTAATAGAACGGTTTATTAATAGCCGATCGAATACCATAATGCTTCAGGTTGA